ATATAGTACAATAAAATAATTTAATGTTATAAATTTATAAAAACTTTTGTAAATTAGTTAAATGTCTTATTTAACTAATTTACATTATACACTTGTAATATAATTTGAAGACATCATTACTAAAAATGCCTTCGAATTGCTAAAAAATATTCTCACTATTCTTCACAATCACTCTTTTTTCTTTCCGTCAAGCTCAACTTCTTTTTTATTTCTATTAACTCTTTTTGTGTCGAATCTCTTGATTTCAAAAATATTTTTAGTAGTCCATTCATTGGCGCTTCCACTATCAGGTTGCCACCTACGACGAGTCGACCTGGCAACATATAACGCACGCACCCTGAGGAGTGAGGACTGACGAGAAGATACTGGAGCTGAAAGAAGAGGCAGACAAGTTGCGCTGGCATATTATTGGATTATCCGAGGTCCGAAGAGAGGGGGAGGACACGGTAATCCTCGAGTCCGGCAACTTGTTCTATCACCGTGAGGGCGACCATCTGTCCCAAGGAGGTGTCGGATTTATCGTCCACAAGTCTCTCGTCAACAAAGTTGTAAAGATTGGGAGTGTGTCGACGAGGGTCGCGTACCTGGAACTCAGAATCACCAAAAGGTATTCGCTGAAGGTCATACAGATTTACGCACCAACCTCGGCACATCCCGATGAGGAGGTGGAGGAAATGTATGAGGATATTTCTAAAGCCATGCATTCCTCCAAACTCACTATACGGTGTTGATGGGAGACTTCAACGCAAAACTAAGCACAAGAGAAAGCGGTGAGCTGGAGTTAGGGAAATTTGGAGTAGGGCAACCCTAGGGGCCATCAGCTGGCCGACTTTATGGAGAAAGAGGGATTCTTTATGATGAACTCTTTCTTCAAGAAGCGGCCCCACAGGAAGTGGACCTGGTCGAGCTCCGACGGTTCGACAAAAAATGAGATTGACTTCATTATGACGACCAGACGCCAACTGTTCAGTGATGTCTCAGTGATCACGAGGGTGAAAACTGGCAGGGATCACCGAATGGTTAGAGGCACACTGAACTTAAATGTTAGGTTAGAGATGTCTCGTCTAGTGAAGTCAACGCTCCGTCCCCCTCGTGCGCTAATCCAAGGTCCCGAAAAAATTCAGCTCGAATTACAAAACCGTTTTCAGTGCCTAGAAGACTGCAATAAAGTGGACGATATGAATGACAAGCTCGTGGAAACTGTCCATGCGGTCGGAGCTAAGTTCTGCAAGACCCGCCGCAGAAGAACACAAAAACTCTCCGATCACACTCTTAATCTCATGGATGTTAGACGGGTGATGAAGCTGCAGTCGTCAGCAGATTTGACAGCATACAGGCAACTGAACAGACAGATCTCCAAATACATGCGGCAGGACTTACGTAACTTCAATACAGCTCGTATTGAAGAAGAAGAAGCGATTGAGCGTAACGAGGGCTCCAAAGTCTTTACCAGAGATCTGTCTGCCAGTAAGAGGCAACTGTCAAAGCTGAAGACTGAGTGTGGCAGAATCGTTTCCGGGACAGCTGAGAATCAGTTTTCGATAGTCATTACGAAACGTCTCGCGCGCAGACTCGACGACTTCCAGCCTCCCGTACGAGCAGGATTCCGAAAAGGCTTTAGTACCATAGACCACATACATACCCTTCTGCAAATTGTACAGAAGTCCGCAGAGTACAATCTGCCACTTTGCCTAGCGTATGTGGACTATGAGAAAGCCTTTGATTCCGTCGAAATTCTCTTCAGCGTTCAGTCTCTTCAGCGGTGCCAAGTTGACTGTCGGTATATCGAAGTGCTGAAGTGTTTGTACAGTAAGGCTACGATGGCTATCCGAGTACAGAACCAGAGTACGAAACCTATCCAACTGTAGAGAGGAGTAAGACAGAGTGACGTAATATCCCCGAAACTCTTCACCGCTGCATTGGAAGACGTTTTCAAGCCACTGGACTGGAAAGGATACGGTATTAACATCAATGGCGAGTACCTCATCTTCGATTTGTCGACGATATAGTGCTTATGGCAGAATCATTGGAGGACTTAAGCACTATCCTCAATGACCTCAGTAGTGCCTCCCAACGGATAGGTCTTAAGATGAACATGGATAAAACAAAGATCATGTTTAATGTCCATGTCACACCTTTGCCCGTAGTGGTTGGGAAACACTAAGCCCGTAGTTGCTGACGAGTACGTTTACCTGGGACAAATAGTCCGACTAGGTAAGTCCAACTTTGACCGAGAAGTCTATCGACGGATTCAACTCGGCTGGGCAGCGTTCCTCAAAACCTGAAAACTAAATTGTACAACCAGTGCGTGTTGCCAGTGATGACCTATGGAACCGAGACTTGGTTCTACACTGCTGGCCTTATGAGGACGTTCAAAGTCGCTCAGCGAGCTATGGAGAGGGCTATGCTCGGGGTTTCTCTGCGTGATAAACTTAGTAATGAGGATATCCGCAGTAGAACCAGAGTGACCGACATAGCCCTACGGATTGGTAAGCTGAAGTGGCAATAGGCCGTCCATATAGCTCGACGAACCGACAACCGTTGGGGAAAAAGGTTCTGGAGTGACAGCCTCGTACTGGTAGGCGAAGTGTAGGGCGATCCCCCATTAGATGGAGTGACCACCTGGTAAGACATGCAGCAAGTAGATGGATGCAGGTGGCTCAGGACCGTGCTTTGTGGCATAATTTGGGGGAGGCCTATGTTCAGCAGTGGACTTGCGAGGGGCTGTAATGATGATGCTGATAATAACCGCCGACCGAGTATTTAAGACAAAACCAAATAAAAGTAATTTGGACCACGATACGTTATTCAAACTTTTAAGATTAACAAATCATTCATTCATAGAAATAAAATTATGATTTTATAGCTAAGTGTGCTACTACAAAACATACCTACGATTTAGTTGGACTAATTTTTATAATTGGTGGCAGGACGCGGGGTAGCGCTTCATTATAGTGCAATAAGAGTCTGTTATTATGTCCTTGAGCGAGAGCGGTTATTATAAATACGATTTTTGTTCTTAAGGCCTTATTATCCGCAGGTACCTTACCTTTAGTGATTTAGTATAAGTATTCCACATTCTATATAAGTGGCTCGTACAGCCTAGTCGCCTCCAGCCGCAAACAACGAAGGCTACAGGTGCGCACCAATATGGAACAACTCATAGCCTGTAATGTAATTATACCGGCTCTCTATACATTTCAAAGCGAAACATTGCGCGCATTACTGTTTGCCGGGAGAAATATGAGAGAGTGGTACCCGACCTGAGTCTCTTAAACAGAAAAGTGGCCCTACCATCTCCTAATGTGACTTAATGTATAGCCGGAAATAATTCAAATCTAATCATTTACATAATCCATTAGTACATAATGAGGGTTAATAATTCTACGATCACGATCACCAGATGTCGCTAATTGACACTAAGGTGAAGTTTTTTGTTAAAAAATATCATTTAAATTGAGAAGTTAGTTTTAAATAAAAGTTTATCAGTTTCTAGAGTATTTATATTTATATACAAACCAATGCCTTGATGGTTTATTATTTAATTTTTTGCATATTAATAACAATTTTTTTGATTTTTCTATTTTTATGAATATCTGTAACTAGGTTTAATTATTTTTAATCTAGTTAATATAAAATATAACTAATGGTACAAAAAGAAACATGTAACTTTACAATTTTCGAACAAAATAACTTCCCGACTACGAAATCTGTAAAATATTACACCTCAAAATTAAGTGGCGCCGCCGATGGAAGTGGTGGTCATTGGTCTTAAAACTTGACGCCCTTTTCAGGCACTGCAAATTTGACGAGGACACTGCTTATATACGTAAAATATACTCAGAAGCTAGATAAATATAAAAATGTATTGTAGTATTATTTTTTGTTATCTAAATACTCCTCCACTGAGTAGAAGGGGTTTTGTTTTAAATATTTACTGAGGCTTGATTGAAATTTGGTTAATTCTGATATGTTTTTTATTTCCTATGGTTATTATCAACTTTTATTGCCATATAGTAAGGGCTTGTATTTAACATTTTTGTTCACGACTGTGGTAGGTATAATTTATTTATGTTATGTGTATCTTTAATCTTCTTGAAAATATTATTATTATTGTGGACTAGTTTGATCCCTGTCCAAAATATAGAAACATTCACAAAAACTGACAGCATCGAACATGTTTGTTTTCTTCGGTATGGTGTCCATTCATTTGTGTTGGTGTAAGTATGTTGGGTACCGAAACAGTATGTTTCTGAATCTTTCACCATCTGATTTATTGTCCTATCATTTGTTGTAATGAACAACATTGATCTCCTGTCAACCTGCCTGCCAAGCGTGCCAGCGATGGCAAATATCACATTCATGAGGTTATCTATAAGGAAAGCCTATGTTTAGCCAGTGCCAATTGCTGACTTTTGATAGGCTGTTATGAATGAATAGAAAACAATACAGGTAAGGTATGTATTTCATATTGTTTTTTTACAAAGGATTAATTTATCAATTCATATTCCATATTTACAAATTTATTCTTAGTCCATTTTAACATACAACACCTTTTTTAACAAAAAACTATTTACAAAAACTTTGAAATATATTGGGCAATACAAAGGTTACTTATAACTATCAAGATTGAAAGAAGCATTTTCTATAATCACCATGTGTGGCAGGTGGTTGTCAACTGTAGTGTTATGTATTAAATCTTTAATGTTGCTTCATTTGCAGGTCTTGTTATTTTGTGTTTGCCATAAAGTGGATGGATATTCCGACACTATCAGAAGCTATAATATCTTTTTGACATTTTTTGTAGTTGCCCTTTATGATATCCAGAATACAAAATATGGCGATGAATCCTTTTATGATATATAATAAAAATGATAAAAATCTAGTTATGAAACTGTAAATAAGTTTAAAAAATAGCATAAAAGTGAGAAACTAAATTTATTTTAATAATTATTTTTTATTTCTAATTGTATAAAATCTAAACACAGATCTTTAAGAGTTTAGAAATCAAGTTTAACTTCCTCTGTATTATAGGGGTTTTGAGACACTAGGTTTATGTCATTTAGTAGTCGTATAGACTGGTAGTTCTCTGATGTAATCTGAATGTAACCACTAGATGTTTCGTCTAGCCTCTCTTGCATCAGTTGCTGAAACAGTTGTATTTAATAATATTAACATATACTTATAAATAAAATTGAAGTATATCTGTAATATTAAAATTACTGGCTTCTATAAAGCTCAGGCTGTTGTTTGCTTCATATATATTAAAACATTTTTTTTTATTTTAACACAAGGCGGGTTGCTAGTATTAAATAAAATAATAGTATTATCATATGGTGATTGCCATATTATTCTCCTGGTATAAGTACGACAACTGATCGTAGTCTTGGGGACGAATCCTTGGTGAGGCAAAAATTGGTTATGGGGTTTCTCTGTCAAAAACTTCACAGTAGCAGCCTCGATGGTGGTTTTTCACCCCCGGACAACGTGTTCTTTTTAGTCCTGAGCCTAATCTCTTTTCAGTTATGTCGGATTGCCATCCTATTAGGACTATGAGAGTAAGAGAATAAATAGTGCACCTGCATTTCACACACTCATGGACTATAACCTATCTAAATTTGATATGTAGGACATTGTTATTATGAGGGGTGTAAGAGATAATACTTTTTCCTAGTGTCACTTCACTTGCACCATGCAAGGAAAACAACTCTCTATATCTTAAAAGATTGGTGATTGGAAGTAGCAACATGTGAAGTCTCAGATTGTAAATGAAGATATTAAAAAGTAGGCATGTGTCAACCATGAAGGACTTATTTATTTGACCTGGGTTGCATTCAAGTATTGATGATTGTAATTACATTTTTTGAATGTTCCGAATCATACAATGGACAGGACCTACAACAAAAGAGTATAGTAATATATTAGTAAGTGGATATCACACAGCACTGAAACTTGAAATGATCCACTTGAATAATCAACTCAAATGACCCAGTTAGTTAGACGAATTGATACTTGAATGATCAGGTCACTAGAAATTAACAAATGAAACTTATCTATTTCAAAGGCTTACCCCCAAAACATCCTTGATAGGGTCGGCACAGTTTGGGTACAAGGAATATATAAGTCCATGAAGTTCTTTTTTAATCAATTGGAATCTTTCTTTAGCCTTCATCATGTGCTTGGGATGTATATCATTCTTTACTGCTTTAGGTCTTAACCTGGCTTCTTGTAATGTTTTGATTGAGTTATCTAATCTGAAAATATAAATGTATAGAAGATTTTTATGGATATGAATCATTATTCATAATTGATGAACTTTAACAGCAATAAAAAAGGATCTTGTTGTTGCACTTTTGTAAGAATAAAATGATAGCTTTAAGTGAAAAGTAATAAAAATTTACGAAGGAAAGAACAGAAAATATGCATGCCAATTCTAACAAGGCAATAGATTTACATTTTGGGGGAGTAAGGTGTTTTATTTGGTAGAGGTTTGGTCCCCCATTATAATAATACCACTCACACAAAAGGTAATGCACCATTCTTGAGAAAAATCTAAAAGAAAATCCCATAGAACTAACCTCAAAATGAATTAAGGGGGTGGTAGGTGGTGGAGAGGGAAGCGGGAGAGTTGTAGAGTCGCCCCCCACTTCCACCTCCTGCAGGACATGCCCAGTTTTTTTTCATAAATCATTAAAAATCTAATTTTGAGGTTATGTTTTCGTAATGTTTTTGAATATAAACCTGACTTTTGGGGGGAGAGAGTTGGGGGACGGAAGCACCTTAGTGGTTTATAAAAAAATTACCACGAACAGGATGGCAGTCTATTAGCTTGCTTCGCTCGATCCCCTTCTAACCTAACCTGTCCGAGTCAGGATGCCCTAAGTCCCAAGCTCACTTCGCTCCATTTTTTTTACACTCAATAAAATACCAATATATTAACTTTTGTAAAAAAGATCCAGAGGCGTAGCGAAGTCGCTGAAAAACAGGTGGAGGCAGATGAAAACGTTAGGGAGCACATGCAAGCTACAATAATAGGGTCGGCTTTAGTAATCTGCTGCATGATTTAACAGATTATTTTAGCTTTAGTTGACAGGCAATGATGCTATTGATTAACCATCTAGCTGCTTTTTATGCCGGAAATCTTTATTTTTCGAGATATCGATAGTAAAATTTTTGAGGTTATATCGGGTTGGCTAGACATCCGGTACTTGATTTTGATAATGTTTTTAGTCTAGGAGACTTGTTAGGGTTAAGCTTAAACCTATTACACTGTTTTTAGATGACGAAAATGCATTTTGAATTAATTACTTACGATAAAAACAAATTTCACCAAAAATAGTGTAATAATGAAAGGTAAATATTACGTCAATTTGTTCTCGTATTATGAAGTAGATTTCCTGTACTTGATTTTTTAATTTTGTTTTCAATTTAGGAGGACTGTGAGGGTTAAGCTCGAACCACTTACACTGTTTTTCTATTTCGTAAATGCCTTTTGAATTAATTAGGATAAAAATAAATTTCACTTAAAATTGTATATAACAAAATGCAAATATGTCAATTTGTTTTTTTAACACCGATACACTCATAAAAAAGTTAATCACTTGGACCCAGACAATCCATTTGTGGCTGGAGATGGGACTTATATACAACAAATTGAGTTGCAATGGAGAGCAGTCAAGAGGTTTTTCAGAAAACAAAATTATAACAATTCACATTACATTATTTCATTTACCACTCTAGTAGCAGAGTTAAGAGCAACTGGACTTTATAGATAAATTGGTGGAATTGGTTCTAAAACCGAATTAGCACATCCCAACTCCACATAGTCTGCCCTACCCCTAGAGTGTTTTTGTTAAGCCGTAGGCACGGAGGGAGAGCAGCCCCCGCCCGCTGTAGCAAATCGCAGACACCTAAGCGAGCCATAGCGGCTGAGGCTTGTCTCAATAAGCTGAAGCTGCGGAGGTGAGCATGGGTGCCTGTGATTTGCTACGCAAGGGCGAAGGGGCTGCACTTCCCGCAGTGCCGAAGCCGTTGCAGAAGTAACTGCGTCAATATTCCTGTATAAAAAAGTGAGGATATGATTTTATAAAAAAAGGGGGGTTTCCGGCACTTCCCCGTTTTAGGAGGAGGTTCCTACCCCAGCCCCCCCCACTCGGCGACCATAAATTCGTGCGGCAGATTACTAAAGAAATACCCAATAATTTACTGGAGAGCACACATTCATGCAAGAAGATCTACCTCCTGTACATACAACTTTATAATTTGTGGAGTAACCAATGGTGAAATGCATAAAAATTAGTGTCATGCAATTTGACACTTGAATTTAGACAATAGAATGGGTGCATTTCGCAGAAAAATGCACTAGCAAGCGCTTACAAGTGCTGAAATAGTTTTCGGCCAGGACACGATTGTTACTTCAGTAGCGCTGACACAATCCACCATTTTGCTTATTTAATTTGTTTGTTTTGAAGTAGAGTTTATAAGTTTTTTTGTGCAATATTAGTTATAATGAGTGTATAGTGAGAGTAATATAATGACATGAATAGACATATACATGTTATTAAAAATTAATGATTGGTAAGTTTTTAATATGAATACTTTACAAACATATATTTAAATAAGGTTAGGTTCCCCGGTTAAAACTAACTTCGTGTCCTAGAGGAAAATAGCTCACTTACGATTTGACAGTGGTTATCGTTTACGATGGCGATTTTGCTTACAAGCACTTTTTTCTGCAAAACGCACCCAATAATGTGACACTAGTCTTACATCCTTGTTGCACTTACACAAAATTCTGTATACTATCCAGCTTTCACACTTTCACAGTAATATTGCATATTTTTCCATGTTTTATGCATTTTAGGTTATAATAGATTTTATTTATTTTTTCGATAACGATGCATTACCTTTTAATGTGAGTGGTATTATTATAATCGGGGACCAAACCTCTAACCAAATAAAACACCTTACTCTCCCAAATTCCTGCCAAACGATTCTAAATCCAACCCGTGATGAATAAAAAGAAAACCATAAATAAATACCTGTCTATTTCAGCATTCATGTCATAAATGGATCCCTTGGTAAAAGCTAAGAATTTTTCAACTTCTTCAGTTTTCTCTTTCGTTTCAGAGAGGTATTGACTTGTTAGTAAATTAATATCCGTTGTTATAGCTGTGTTCGAATTTTGTATGTCTGTTCGTAAAGCCTCTACATAATTTAAAGCTTTAGCTTCAATGTTGTTTGGTATAAGACCCACATCTGGCGAATTCTCAATAACATTATAAGCGTATTTACATTGCTCTTGCAATAATTTCAACTGTCTTGTCAACGCTTCTTTCGTTTCATTATTCATCGTAAACTTCTGACAAAATCTTTAAGAGATAAGAAGAAAATTTAAACATAAAAACAGTAACAATATGTATACAACTTCGCACAGATTTTTACTTACTTTTTTTATTTAATACTTAAACAATATTAGCAACCTCAATTCCGTAGAAAAATAATTAAGATAACGAAGTTTGTAGAAAACCGTTGATTTTTTTGACCGTTTGTTTGATTTCGATTCGTAGACCCACAGAGTACTTTTTTATGTCGTAGACTCTCTAGTATATACACAGTAATCTATGTTGTAGACAGAGATAATTTCCTGTTTACGTTTAGGATTCTTTGTCTACGGCACAAACTAATAAGAGTACTAACGTATAGTCTACGGTTTCGATTGTTGTTGTTTTTATTATTCGCTCGTGAAAACAGGCAAAGGAACTAAGCCATACAGTCTTGTCTTTTTTAATTTGAATATAATATAGAATTTTGAAGAATATATACAAGTGTAAAGGACGGAACCAATTCTTAGTTTTCTTCTTTCCATCTCTTCAAGGGCCATAAAGGCCGAAGCCAAATCTTCTTTATATTATAATCTTTATAAGTTTCAATCCATATAGATTTATCAGTCCAATTAAATGGTTCGCAAGGTTCCCGCGTTTTTTTTTCTTTTCTTAACAATATGCTGATGGGTCACATTGCGAAGCCCTTGGGAGATTTTGACGACAGCTCAACCCAGCAGACAGTTGATGGCGACAACCATTCAAGTTCATAAGGCGCCTAAGCGATCAAAATAACTTGAGGTTTATATCGACATCAAAGCACTTGTTTCGTCGTTTCCTCTAATAGTTCACACGCGCAGACAATTAAACAAAATCACATAACTTTTACGAATTAAAATCCACTTCAAACCATTATTCAAGCGACAAAATAGGAGCGACAGTCCGTCGTCGGCCAAGTTCCCGCTCGCGTTGATTTCGATATTTTGATTTGCTTGGATTTGCTACTTTTTTATTGTTACGATCGTAAACAGAGAAACCTATAGACAAATTGACGCCTTCATTCGCATTCGCACACGAAAAAGATAGATTTATGTATACGTATTGCATAGAAATGAGACAGAGCGGTGTGATTGTTTGTCCCTTTCTCCGTGCCGATTTTTTTGTCTGCTACAGTTCGTAGCGATCTAAGGAGTTTACAAGTTGGTTTAAGTGAAAAAAAAGTGTTTTGTGAGCTTAAGATTCGTGAATCTTGTTCAGTTCAGTTCTTAGAACAAAAAAAATTTTATCTAAATATGTTTAAAAGGCATAAAGATTATTGCATAACCTACACCTAAATTATCGTTCTTTCACACTCGCGGCCACACTAATCATCTCCGTAGAGGGAGGATATTGTATACACTCTGTGTTCCTCTGTCTACGCGATTCTCTAATTAAGACCGGCAAAGGTCATGGGCCACAAAGTCTAAGCTATTTTGTTTATATGTATTTTGTTTGCTATGTAGGGTTTTCAAAATTATATAATATAAAAAGTATTCTAGTCAGAAGATAAATATTCATCATTCATCATTACAGCCCTTCACAGGTCCACAGCTGAACATAGGCCTCTCCCAAGGTAGGTAACAAAACACGGTCCTGAGCCACCTGCATCCATCGACTTCCTGCATGTCTTACCAGGTCGTCACTCCATCTAGTGGGGGGTCGCCCTAGATTAGCCTACCAGTATGAGGCTGCCACTCAAAAACCTTTTTTCCCCAAAGGTAGTCGGTTCTTCGAGCTATATGGCCGGTACATTTGCCACTTCAGCAGCCGTTGGGCTATGTCGGAAACTCTGGTTTTACTGCGGATATCCTCATTTCTAAGGATCAGATACTGAAGAACATGAAGTCCCTAGATCTTAATAAGGGCCCAGGACCAGATTGTGTCCCTCCTTTATTTATTAAGGCATGTGCGGATGAGCTAGTGACGCCTATATATCAAAATTTTTAAGAAGTCTCTTCAATCCGGCCTATTTCCTGATGTTTGGAAGTTCGCCAAAGTTGTTCCCATTCACAAGGCCGATAACGTCGAGGTGGTAGGTAATTATAGGCCTATTTCTATACTGTCAACTTTAAGTAAAATATTTGAACTATTGGCACCACTTGAATCATTATCTTACTGAGTGGCAGCACGGTTTTGTTAGATTTAGTGCAACCTGTTCCAATCTGACCTTGTTTACTGAAACTTTGGTAGAAGCAGTAGATAACGGTAGGGATGTTGATGTAATATATACAGACCTTAGTAAGGCATTCGACAAAGTACCTCATAATATTCTTATATCTAAATTGCGTGCATATGGTATTACTGGCTCATTAATGGGATGGCTGCAGTCGTATCTGGATAATCGTAGTTTTAGTGTGGTCGTTAATGGTTTTCAGTCTGTACCATACAAAATTACGTCGGGGGTTCCTCAGGGATCACATTTAGGTCCTCTGCTTTTCAACACCTTCATCAATGACATCCCTAGTTGCTTCCAGTTCTCCATACCATTTATGTATGCCGATGATTTGAAATTGGTTGGCATCTGCGAAACTCTAGAGGACATTGAACAGTTTCAAAGTGATGTTGACCGTATGGTAAATTGGTGTCGAGACAATAGTATGTACCTGAACATAAACAAATGCTACCATATGAAATTCAGTAGAAAGATCAAGTCACTGAACACATCATACAAAATTAACGGCCACATCATTAAGAAAACGGGGGAAGTCAGAGACCTGGGAATAGTGTTCGATAAAAAATTAACCTTCGTTCCCCACATCGAGAATATTACAAAAAAGGCGTATAGAATGGTAGGCTTTTTTTTTGCGTAACGCAAAAGTGTTTAAAAATAATCACATTAAGATCCTACTGTACAACAGCCTCGTACGAAACATACTTGAGTATTGCAGTGTAGTATGGAGGCCACATTACGCGACACACTCCTTACGATTGGAACGTCTGCAAAAAAAGTTCGTGGCAAATTTGGCCTATTGGAATGGGATTCACAAAAAAATTCGGTCTTACGAAAAACGATTAAGATTCTTTAAGATTTTATCCCTGGAAAATCGGAGAAATTTGCTTGACCTTCATTTCTTGTAAAAATTTTTAATCAAAAAATTAACTGTCCCCTCTTGCTCCAAAAATTTAAATTTCGTGTTCCATTGAGGATTCCTCGCGCCCCTATTACTCCACTTTGCCCCCCTTTTAGAAAATCTGTCTTAGGTGCAAACTTCCCAATTCCAAGGTTGTGCAAATTGGTCAATGGACATAGTGACAAAGTTGACATTCACGCCGACTCACTGGCCAAAAGTAAGGAAGTTCTAGCTTTAGCCTGGTCTGAAACCAACAAATAAATAATAATAGTTCTTACCACGTACTTTTTTCATTATTAGGTAATTTATACTTTTTTATTCGTATTTATAATCTTTCTCGATGCATGTGGTGTTTACCTTAAACGATTGTTACACTTAGCTACGTAAATTAGTTCTTAAGCCATTTTGTTAAATACAGTGTAATCAAACATTGGTAAACCTTAATAAATTTAAAAAAAAATTAAGTTTATCCCACAAAGAAACTCCGAGCATAGCCCTCTCCATAGCTCGCTGAGCAACTTTGAGCGTCCTCATATGGCCAGCAGTAAGGGACCATGTCTCAAATCCATAGGTTATCACTGGCAACACGCACTGGCTGTATTGTCGCGTTTTCAAGTTTTGAGGTATAGCTGACGAGAAGATGTGCCGTAATTTCCCGAACGTTGCCCAGCCGAGTTGAATCCGTCGATCGATCTCTCAGTCAAAGTTGAACTTACCTAGTCGGACTGTTTTTTCTCAGGTAAACGTACTCGTCAACAATTTTGAGCTAAGCTAACAACTACCGGCATAGGTGTGACATGGACATCAAACATGATCTTTGTTTTGTCCATGTTCATCTTAAGACCTATCCTTTGGGAGACACTATTGAGGTCATTGAGCATAGTGCTTAGGTACTCCAGCAATTCTGCCACAAGGAATATATCGTAGGCAAATCGAAGGTGAGTGATGTACTCGCCATTGATGTTAATACCGTACCCTTTCCAGATCAGTAGCTTGAAAACGTCTTCCAATGCAGCAGTGAAGAGTTTCTGGGATATAACGTCACCGTGTCTTAAACCTCTCTGCAGTTGAATAGATTTTGTACTCTGGTTCTGTACTCGGATAGCCATCGTAGCCCTACTGTACAAACATTTCAGAACTTCGATATACCGACAGTCCACTTGGCACCACTGAAGGGACTGTGGCACCGCCCAAATTTCGACGGAATCAAAGGTTTTCTCATAGGCCAAATAAATACGCCAGCCAAAGTGGCAGATTGTACTCTTCAGACTTCTGTACAATTTTCCGAAGGGTATGTATGTGGTCTATGGTGCTAAAGCCTATTCGGAAACCGGCTTGTTCGGGAGGCTGGAAGTCGTCTAGTCTGCATGCGATACGATTCGTAATGACTCTCGCGAACAGCACGTAGACGCGGCTCAGAAGGAATATCGGTCTGTAGTTCTTCAAGAGCCATAACTTTCGTTTTACCTGCATTCACTTACATTCTCCTTTTTTTAAATGACGTGTTCATTAATGTAACTATCTGCGTAGAAAAGTCATTTGACGGTTAACTCACCCAGTCTTAACCCGCATTCTTCAACTTTCAAAGTTTCCAAACAGCTGTACATAAATAGGTTGAACAGCCACGGGGAAGCTACACAGCCCTGTCTGACACCTTTATGGATGCCAATCAGTCCGAGTGGGTCCCGTTGATCCTAACACAAGCGCTCGAGTCCCTATACAGAGACTTTGATTCTAAATGAGTTCAGCATTTGCCATAACACATCCCTGTCATAAGTCCTTTTCCAAGTCCATGAACGCACAAAAAACTTTTTGGTTTTTCGCCAAAAAATTCTCCGCGATCATGCGCACGGAAAAGACTTGATCTGTACACACCATTCCATTTCTAAATCCCGCTTGCACATCCCAAATTTTTCCAT